TAGATTGTCATTTTATTAGGGTATGCCATTAAAGAAGGTGAGATTAAGCCATCGTATGTTTCCACGAAGATTCAGTTGGCGGATATTTTTACAAAGGCATTAGGAAAGGCTCAATTTGAATTCTTACTTGGCAAGATGGGCATTCGAGATCTACATGCTCCATCTTGAGGGGGGATGTTAAGATAATATTAGAAAATATTGTATAATATATTTAGATTTCCTAGTTATGTTAAAATTTTATCTTATTCCTAATTATGTTAGGGTTAGGAATATCTATGTAACTATATATATTTAAGTTGTGAATGAGAAAGGCAAGAGTTTCTATTGAATTTGTCAAATCCCCTGTATATTGTTAATTGTGCGAATTATTATCTCGGCCTTACCATTTTGGGAAGATGTGTTTGGGCAAGAGAAACGGAAACGTATACCATTATCCGCACAAAAGGTGTGAAAAGGAGTGTTATTGAACTCGCGACTGTTATCAATTTGAATAGTTTGGATATATGTTTTAAATTGCAAGAAAAGAGAGTAGACTTGAGATTTAAATTTAAGAGGGAAAATCCAAATAAAATGTGAGAAATCATTGAGGAGCATCAAGTAATATTTGTGACTCAATTTTCTTTTAATCGGAGAAGTCCATAAATCATCATGAATGATATCAAAGAGAGAAAAAGTAACACTCATAGATGATTTAAAAGGAAGTCTAGTATGCTTTCTCAAAGGACAAGAGTAGCAAAGATGGGTATTATTATTCCCCTTATTACAATTTATCAAACCATTATTTCTAAGAAAATTAAAAACAGGAGCTCCTGGGTGTCCAAGTTTACTATGCCAGATGGAAGGAGAAATAGCAGCAAATGAGAGATGTGGATGTTCTCTTGCAGCGGAAATCGAAGAGAAAGGATATAGGTCCCCCACACTATTGCACCTCGCTAGAATTGTCCCCGAATGAAGGTCCTTCACAGAAAAACCAAAAGGGTCAAACTCAAGAGAAACAGAATTGTCACATATAAATTTCCTAACAAAGATAAGGTTCTTGATAATGTTAGGAGCATAAAGGACATTTTTTAGTTTAAAGGGGGGATGTGTGGTGGGGGTGTCGATGTATGACCGTATCCCTAAATTGGAATGCGTTTGCCATCACTAACTAAAATAAATTGAGGAATTCTCAAATTACACAGTTTAGGAAGATTACCGGCATTATGAATAAGGTGAGAGGTGGCGCCGATGTCCATGTACCACCCGTCATTAGGTGACTGCAAGCTCATTGAACTATATGCTTGACCCAATTCCGTAGGAGACATTAGAGGCCCGTACCCTTGCTGGTATTGGACTGGAGCAAAGTATGCTTGTTGGGCCGGGTGTGGGCCCAGAATGGATTCTTGACCTCTTTAGGAGAATGCTGCCGGTTGTGTAGGAAAGGGACAAGGAGGTGAAGCCCACCCTCCTTGTGCTGGACCGGCCCATTGATGTTGGCCTTGGGAGGATTGTTGCTGGTTGGACCAATTTTGATTGGGTTGGTGATGTTGATGGTCTTGTTGGTGGCCAATAGGTGCGGTATTAGGAGGCTTTCCACGCCCTTTGGCTTTACCTCCCTTAGGGTTGCCGCGACCGCGCCTACGGCCGACTGCACCTTCGCAACGACCACCACTCCCACGTGGCTGGTCGTTGGCTTGTTGCGGCGAAGAAGGGGCTGAGCCGGAGCTATTTTGTGCCACCAAAGCATGTTGGCTATGCTCCTCCTACTTTTATTATCTTGTCTCCTCCAAAAGATATCGCGATTAAGCTTGATCAAAACTCGGAAGAGGATCAGACTGCTATATCATGGCAGCAACGGTGTCATACTCACCTTTGGGTAAGGCGGTAATCATTTGAAGCACCATCTTGATTTCCGAGACCGGGTTCCCGACGTTACCAAGTTGATCAGCAAGGAGTTTTATGTGTTTTGTGTATTCAGATATGTTAGTGAAGTTCTCAAGACGAGTTGCGTTGAATTGTTCCTCCAAGTAAACCGCACGGGTGTGCTTATTGTAATAGAAAAGCTCCTCTAATCTCTTCCAAAGCTCAAGGACGGTTGCACCGGGCTTCATAATTGTGTGAACAAGGTCCTTTGAAATTTTCCCAAATATCCATTTCTTAACAATGGCATCCAAGCGTTTCCAGGTAGCGTCATCGATGTCAGAAGGTCGGGAAATCGAACCGTCAATGTGATGCAGGACATTGAAAGCACAAGCATGTATTTAGAAGTGTTCGACCCATGTAGCGTAGTGTCTCTTTTCATTATCAAGGGTTATGGGCATGAGATTCTTGATATTTGAGATAGCGAATGCGGGGTGAAAGGGTGTGTAAGAGGGAGGAGGAGGGAGGGGTTCATCATCACCAGGCACGGTGACGTGAAGCCAGGGAAGGATGCTACGAGAATGCCCCAGGATCTAGGAGTTAGGAAAAAAATCCTATTTGTTGTGATACCATGTATGATGGTGTAAATCTCCTTGAGAGATGTATGCTCATTGCTTCAATATAAATAGGAAATATACAAGCATAATTAAGAGTATAATCTCTACATAATTACACAACTATAATTACATAATATGAAGTGTTTCATATTCTATCACCCTGGTCGGTCTTAGAGACCAAAAAAATAGGGAGAATTTGGTTCGATTTTGGATGGTTGCGGTGGTGGTGGTTTATCAGCGCTGATGATGGTTGTTTATGAATAAAAATCAACCTGCTCTTGAAGTCTTGATAACATGAAAAATTAGGGAGAAAATATAATTGAATAGATTAGCTTCTTATTGAATGACTTGCAAAATATATAATCTTTACAATCTTCCTAACCCAATATTAGGAAGTTAACTTAATTAAAAAAGATAATATTTTTTTTGACGGGAATTACAAAAGATAATATTAGTAAGAAATATTTTCCCCAAAATATATTATATGGTATCTCTTTATGGAGTAATATTAGCCTATAACTAGCTTAAGGTCCGTGCCATGCACGGTAAGTTTAACTTTTGTAAGAATAATCAACAAATAAAATTTGATAAAACATAAACATCAAACATAGAAATTATAAATGTCATAATCTATATTAAGAGGCAAGCAAAAAATTAAACAAAAATGGATTTTTTAGGCTGCCTAAATCCGAGAATTTTTTCAGGCGAGCGTTGGTTTGATCTAATCGAGCCTAGCAATACTTATTTTTAATAAACTTTTAATAAACATCAAAAATTAATCAAACAATATATGATATTTTACCTTTTCATAATATTAGACTAAAATTAATTGATATTTTACCTTTTCCTAGAATCAGACATATCATGTAATTGTTAAACAGTTTTAAAAAAAGTAAAAAAATATAAACACAACATTTATTTTGTAGTTATACTATACTCTATAAGTCCATAATTTGTAATAATATATACATAATAGTAAAATCTCAGAAACAAAATTATAATTAATCTGAATTTATAGTCATATTAAAATTGAAATAAAATATTAGCTAGTGGAATTGGAAAAAAAAACATTATTTTTTTAAAGTAATTTCTTTAACATCTTATATGAATCAATTTATTATTACTTTTTTGCAAAATTTAAAAATACTCTATTTGAAAGACAATTAAAAAGGATTATGTATAGAAAACTTATGAACACCAAATAAAATAAAGGAATATATTTGTCATAAAAACAATATAAAAGATTTGGAATGATATTATTATAGAATAAAAAATAAATAAATAAAATAAAATTGTCATAAAAAAACATAAAATAATTAGAATGATATTGTTGTAGAATCTAATGATAACCGAAAAAAGGTAAAAAGGGAAAGGGAGTTTTTAAGGGAAAAAACAGCACCAGGACGTGATACGTGCCACTCTCGATGTCAGTTTTAGTATTAAGTTATTGTTAATTTGCATATCAAGAACAAAAATAATATTATGATCATATATTTTTCTCGATAGAAACCTATTTTGAACTAGAAAGGGGTGTTTGGTATATACATCGTAAATGAAATGAAAGGATTAGATAAAGGAAAATTTGTGAGAAATATCATTATTTTAAGTGATCAACTTTGTAAGAAATGTCCTTGTATAAAAAAAAATGTTGTAAAAAAAGGTCTCTATATCCCATTTCCATTGTTAGGAGGGACCATTCACTAATTTTCAGTGATTAACTTTATTTTTCGGCCATTGACCATCATTTTTAAAAATAAACTTTTTTTTTGTCTTTTCTCATTTTTCCCTCCAATTCCAACCTTATTATCCCCTTATTTCTCCTTCAACTCTCTAATATGTTGGAGAGAACAAGCTACTACGTGAAAAATAGGGTTCGCTAATTGGAGAGAGGAAGCAAAAATAAGAAGGGAAGAATTAGGGCCAGTTGAAATTGGAGGGAAAAGAGGAAAAGGGAAGAAAAAAAAAAGACAAAATAAAAACAAAGGCCGAAAAAATATAAGCCAATCGCCCGAATTCGATCAAAGACCTAACAACTTAAATGGGATATTATGACCTTTTTTGCACCTTTTGTTTTTATAAAGGGACGTTTTTTACAAAGTCGACCAGTTAAAAAGACCTTTTTAACTTATTTTCGTTACAAAAAATAGGGTAAAAGAAAATGATAAATGTTGTCTTCACTATATATTTGATATCCTAATGGGATGAAAACAAGTTAATTAGACTGTGCTTGAGTAAGGGAATTTGTTACCTTCTAAAAATGATAACCGTTACTTTTAACTCATACCAAACAACTAGGTATGGAAACACTTATGTAAATTTATATCCTACATCTAAAATTTTTATACCAAACACCCCTTTATATATCAACCTATTTACAATTTTCTCTACAAAATTCAATTAACAGGGAAAGTTGTTTTATTACTGATTTTCTTGTTGGTGTTTCTTTTTTTTTTGTTTTTTTTTTGACAATAGCAAAGGAACGAAAAGAAAACTACATTAGGTTAGAAAGAGTAACACGACACTATGTTGGTGTTTCATTTACAGAGGTTGTATGAGTTAGGTGCTAGGAAGGTAATAGTAACGGAGATCGGTCCACTTGGTTGTACTCCATCCGTCGCAAAAAATCCAAGTCGTATGATTAACCTACAAGGAAACAATAATGGAATGTGTGACGAAGGTGCAAATAACATAGTCTCTTCCTTTAACAATCAGCTACCTTTTATGATTGAGAATTTGACTTCAACACTCCCAGAATCACTATTCACCATTGCTGCAGTTAATACCTTCAGTTATGATGTCATTATGGATCCTTCTATATATGGTACGTAAGTTTTACAACTAGTTCTTTTATTTTATGTTAGATATTTACAACTTAGCATTTCATAATATCCATTAATTTAAGTTAGGACTTTTTGTGAAGAAATACTATATTATACATTTAAGGAAATTTTGACATTTGCTATCAGGGAAAACAGCTCGCTTCACATTTGTTACCGGTTTAATATATATATATTTTATTTTTTTACTTTGCTACCATATAAATCAGTGTTTGTTAAAAATCACTACATAATGTCTTACACCGTTACAATTTCCATTTGTGGCTACCAACCACTGTCCAGCCACCACTCCTCCCCCAACCACCTCACTGCACTTTCAGCCATTCCATTTTTCCCCAACCCCACCCTCAGCCAGTGCCTCAGACACCCTTAGTCGCGCCAGCCGACCCACCTCATCCCACTCCCACTACCCCTATTCTCTCCTATCCCCTAAACTTACATCCTACCATGCCAAAAACGACCAATTTTAGCAATTTCAACTCGTAACAACCAAACGCCGTCGCTACCCTCTTCGCAAGTCCGCAAATCAGCCACCATACCCTGTTCGCGAGTCCGCAAATTAGCCACCATACCCTCTTCGCGAGTCCGCAAATCATACGGAAATAATTAGCCACCAACCCGCATGCCCACCAATCAGCTACTATAGCCTCTCTTCACTGTAATAGAGCAGTCCGCATATTAAGTGGTTCAGGGGCTGGGGGAGAAAAGCGGGGCCACGTGAAGGAGTTCCCTTGCCACCCAAAACCACCATAAGAGAAACCCTAAAACCCTTTAGGGTGGTTTCGAGCAGGTGGTTTAGGGTTAGGGGTGCCAGTTTTAGGGAGGGGGAAGGGGAGAAGTTCGATTCTGGTGGGGTCGCCAGCGTTGGCCGCAGCTGTGGGCCTCGGCCACCGGCAGGGAGAGGGGGGAGGGTGGCTAATGAGAGGGGCTAGGTTTTTTTTAAAGATAGCTGGTTTTTTTATTTTTTATTTTTGAATTCAAATGGTAGTGATTTTTAACAAACTCTGATTTAGGTGGTAGCAAAGTGTAAAAAAAAAAAAAAAATTAAACCGGTAGCAAATGTGAAGCGAGGTGGATTCCCCGGTAGCAAATGTAAAGCAAGGTAGATTCCCCGGTAGCAAATGTCAAAATTTCCTATATTTATGTTTTTGTTAAAAAATACCTTGATAAATTTTTTTTTGTAAGAAATTACATTATAAAACACTTAATATTATAAAAATACTATCTTTTGTCGGATTATTGCATTGAATAAAGGACGGTTATTGACTCAACTTCAATCATTTTTATTCTCCTTTTCCCACTAATTTCCCCATAGCCCCTTTATAACCCCTAAGTGCCCTTCTCTTTCATTGTTAAATCGTGTACATGACAATAACTTACAATATTTAGTTTTTATAAGATAGTTTTTCAAAAAATTTAAAGTACATAAGGTAATTTTTCAAAAAAAAAAACCTTTAAGTTTGTAACTAGGATATTATCATAAAAGTTAATTTAATACAGGGTTTAGTGATAGAAGCAACTCATGCTGCACGACATGGTGGAATGACATGCTCACATGTGTTCCGGAACAATCACCTTGTCCGGACCCCAGCAAATACATCTTTTGGGACGGTTATCATCCAACAGAAGCTGCATTTTCTATGTTGTTCAATCAATGGGTCAAAGATCCTTCTACTTGTTTTCCTCTTAGTTTTAAGCAGATTGTTGAATCATAAATTACTCTACAAATTTTTACCCAACCCTACGGTAGGGAGCACTGCCTGCTCTTCCCCCTCCCCCCTCTCCACCCTCTACGCGTGTTCTTCCCTCACCTTTTTATTTACGAATTTTCTGCAAATTTTTATAAAATGTTTATTTATGTATTGGTAAATGTTCTTTTGTATATCATAAGAATGTTCATTTTTATAACAAGGAGCTTTTTGTTCAAATTAATTTATATTTTGAATTGAATTTTAAGAATTTTCTATTAAAAAAAATGAGAGCAAATTTATTTATTAGGATTACTACGTTCAAATCATTTTTGTTATGAGTATTGCGTCATCGAATGTCCATTTTTGTTTATTCGTGTTACAACAAATATTCATTTTTATATCATCAAATGTTTATTTCAAGAGTTGTGTGTAAGTTTCATATTAAGATGTATGCATATACATACTACCCCAACAATTGCCAAGACTTGGATCTGACGTGGGGAAAAGAAGGTCGTTGACTAATCCTCCCTAGAGTCAAACAAATTTATAATCACTTAACAAACCTAGATACAAGTAAAGAGGTAAGTCAAGGGTCGAACCACTACGAAGGGTTATGTTCAAGTATTTGCAATCAATGCCTAAGCTAGGTGGAAGTCAAGAGGAGAAGAGGTAACACTAATATACTAACGAAACGAGAAACAAACAATGAAACACTAGAGAGGGAGGATCATCATGCATTCATGATAATCAAGCTAATTAGGTAATCAAGTAATGCAAGCAATATAAAGATAAATAGTAGGAGCAATTAGGAGCATCTAATCAATCATTTTCATACTCTCTAACCTAGATTTTTCTAGTGCTAAATAATAAGAATAAACATAATTACATTCTCAACCAATTATGATCAAATCGATATCAAGTGGTCATGTCAATCAATTCAATCATGCAATCAAGTTTAGCATCATGGTTAGCTACTCCAATCAAACTAGACAACATGCAAACCTCTATTAATCAATTTAATTACAACACAAGAACTACTAAAATTCTCAAATCAATCTCAATTAATCAATCATACATGTTTACCCAATCCCTAGCAAACCAACTACTTAAAAATCATCATATAATCAACAAGAAAGCTAAGTAATAGAAATCAAGGATTAACAAAATATTGAAGAACAACTACACTGATCAAGAACCAATCATTAAAACCAAACAAAACAAACATGAATTTAAACAAAACAATGAAATGTGATAGAATTAGAAATCCTCATTGATTTATTATGGAGATATTCAATACAATTGTCATCTTGAATTTTCAATCACTTAAATCACCAATGAACTCTCTCAATTTCTCTCTCTAAACCTACTCCGAAACTAACCTATTCTAGAGAGAGAAGTTCTCAACTTAAGCTAAGAATATGAGAGAGAAATTCTAAGCTAGTCTAAAAGTGGCTTTCCCAAAGGAATTACAAGAGTATAAATAACCAAAGAAGAAAAAGCAGACAGTTACGCCCTCTCTTTAAAGTTGCACGGGCGCGAAAAAATGGGTATGGGGAAAGTAACAGACGTCGCGGGATGTCTTCGCAAGAGCCGCGTCTGCGGGAACAATATCCCACGCTCAGGGAAACATCGACCGCGCTTGCAAAATATCGGGGAGTTCGTTCTTGATCGAAAGTTGCACAAATGACAAGAACAAAGGTGGCGGATGCGGACAAAGTCGCCGCGCCTGCGAGGATAAAGCTGCAACATGGCACTGTACACCGCGCCACAGCAAACACTACCGTGACACACCGTTTCCCACCATGACACGATGTTGAACACCGCACCACGACAATAACCACTGCACCATGGCAGTGTCTACCGCACCACGATGTCTATGCCGCGCCACAGTTGGCTTTACTAAGCCTTATGCTACTGCTGTGCTACTTGCTTCTTGGTGCAGATACTACTGCTCGATGATAAAGGCTGCTCGGGCAAAAGGGGACTGTTTGGTTTTGATTTCTTGCTTGCTTGGTTTCCCAAACTTGGTTGCATTTGAGCTTCCTCCACGATATATTTGAATACCGAAAAACCCGATACACCTACAAAACAAGTCAAAGAAACGGAGAAGCAAGAGAATAGTCGAGAAATGCATAAAATAATAAGAAAACCACTAAAAGAATGCCTTTCTCTAAACTCACACACAAGCACGCAAATCAATTTTTATTTCATGAAAACACGAGTAAAAAGGCTAAGAACAAGCATAAATCTAGGAAGAAATCTATCCTATGAGTGCCATATCAGGATCCCGAGAAGACTAACATTGTCGACCATCATGATGTTGTAAAGGACCACATGTCCAAAATATCTTGTTGAGTATTATAAGATATGGATGTAACAGGCGTCAATCCCCTTTGAATTCTATGAGGAATGCATGTGCAATCTATTCAAAGCAACCTTGTTATGACCAGCCCTTAAATGGCTCGAAAAAGTATATCTAAGTAACCTTACTAGTTTCCCATTGTTGAAATTTCATTCCCATTTTGAAAGTAGTAGATATTTTGACAAGCAAATCGGCGAACTTTAATACATCATGAAAGTACCAAAAGAGACCATAAGTGCATATGGTCCAAATTTAACAATCAAGGAGAAGGTGTCCATAAAGAATATCAGCTAGCCATAAAAGCATTCAAGAGAGGGCATAACCCAATATAGGGACATGGTTAAGTACTAGTGCATGTTTACATACTAGTAAAATACTAAACTTGGCCCAAAACCAATACACTTGCACTATTTTTTCCATATCATAATATCTAAAAAATATAATTAACAAATTATAAATGAGTTACAAAGTAGATAACTAGAGTTTCCCAATGGTATAGTATGTTCCTTATCCCGAGTTTAAAATCAAACATTATGATTAAAAAAAGCAGAAAAAATTGATGATTTACAATGATACGCCAATTGAGTCATAATACGACACATTTGTCATGTGTTGAGGTAGATATTGTTCTTTACCAACAAGTCAAATACCTATCTTGTTCTACAGTATTAAGGAGCTATTATTGAGTAATTTTGAACTTGACTTTCTCTAGAAGCATAAGATTCTAAGGGAAATAAAGAACACCTCCATCACTTTGGTGCCCAAAAGCAAATGTCTGGGGAGTGTGACAGATTTCAAGCCTATTTCCATGTTACAATGTCACATATAAGTGCATTTCTAAAGTGATTTATGAGAGGCTAAGGAATAATGTACTCCTTGAAGTTATCTTTTAAAATAAAAGTGCCTTTGTGCATAGTAGATACATAGGGCATAATATCATGGTATGCCAGGACCTTGTGAGGAAACATGGAAGGTCTACTACACCAGTTGGATGTTTGATGAAGTTGGATCTTAAGAAGGCATGTAGTACTGTTGAATGGGATTTTATTGGGGAAATGCCTAAAGCTCTCTAATTTCCTAGGAATTTCATTGATTTATTGATGATATGTGTGATAACTCCTAAATTCTCCATTATGGGCAATGGAACTCTCCATGGATTTTTTAGTTCTAAGAGAGGTTTAAGAAAGGGGAGCCCCCTCTTTCTCTTTCTTTTTGTTCTCTGTATTGAGTACCTCTCTAGAATATTAAAGGTTGTTAGTGAAACTTAGGGTTTCAAATTCCACCCAAGATGTAGTGTTATTGGGTTGACTCACCCGTGTTTTGCAGATGATCTGATCCTCTATTGTAAAGGTGAGATTAATTAATTATGTAAAATTGATGGCGAGAGGTTTCCAAGCTTTCTCTGAAGCTACTAGTTTAAAATCCAAAAAATAAAAAAAAAATCTATATACTGCTCTAGGAAGATTGAGTAGATTGTGCATGATATTTTGTTTGTCATAGACTTTATAAAAGGGTAATATGCCTTTCAAATACCTGGGAGTGCCTATTTGCTCCGTGAAAATATCCAATGTTGAGTATGATCAACTATTGGAAAAATATGTGCTATAATAAAAATATGGGGTTCAAGGAATTTGTGTTTTATAGCTAGGTCAACTTTAGCCAACTCTGTGCTTATGAGCATACAGATTTATTGGGCACAAATCATGCTGCTGCCAAAAGTTTTACTAGAGAAAATAAACATGATTTGTAGAAGGTTTTTGTGGCATGGTGATATAAGAGATAAACCATGTTATATACCATGGGAAAAAGTCTGTTATAGGAAAATGAAAGGAGGTTTAGGCATTATTAATGCTGGTATCTAGAACTTTGCAGCTATGGGGAAGCATGTTTGGGCTATTACACAGAAGCAAGATAACCTTTGGGTTTTGATGGGTGAATTCCTTATACTTAAAAGGTAGAAATTGGTGGACTTATGAACCTAATGCCAATAGTAGCTAGCATTGGAAGCAATTGTGTAGGGTAAAATATAGACTGAAAAGTGTTATTTCTCCTGGTTCTTTAAGGCAGTGTCCATATAAGATAAAGAAGTTTTATGAACTATTCTAGGAAGAAAGATAAAATTTCAAATGGAATAAGATGGTACGGGAGAGGATATCTTAGCCTAAGCATGAATTCATTGCTTGGCTTGTTGTTTAACAAAGATTAAGGATAAAAGATAGAATTCATCTTCAAGTGCAACAGAGTGAAAAGAAGTGTCTTCTGTGTGATGATGTTGAGGAATCACACAAGCACTTGTTTTTTTTTTTTTATTACAAGTACAACAGAAAAATTTAGGAAGGAATCAGAGACTGGATTAGGGTAGGTCCAAAAAAACTTAGGGGTTGTTCACATTTACTAAACCGAGCTAAAATGAACTGAATTGATTGGACCTGAGCTGAACTGATTAGAGCTCAAATTAATATTTTACGAGAAAAAGAAATTAGGAGTTAAACTGGACTAAATTGAAATGAAATGAACTAATTGGAGCTGAACTGAAGTGAAAAGAAATGAAATTAAGCTGAAGTGAACAGGCCCTTAAACTAGACATCCTGGTCAGAACTTGCAGCATACTGAAGCATAGCTTTCAGATGTCTTTGATGACAGCTTGTATGTTATATATAAGATTTAGAGAGTTAGGAATATAGCCTTTTAGGAGAAGAAAATTG